TATATATAAAAATAAACACATATATATATATATATATATATATATATATATAACAATAAGCATATATATATATATAACATTTCTTTTGGAGCAATTTGTTTATTAATAATTATATTTACACAGACTGAAAAACAACGAAAACCCTCTTTGCTGCTGCATCTGCTGCTGCTACTATATATCCAAGTACAAACTAACAAAATATTATTATATACATATATCTAGATATATATAGTATTTATATATATATTTCTGTATATATATATAGATATATCTATATATATATGTATATATATATATATATATATACATATATATATATATATATATATGAGTGAAGTCAGTATGGAAGCAAAAGAAGAAGATGAGATATAAGAAACAGCAGAAAAAAGCAGCAGGTTTGCTGCTCTAGGGTTTAGGGTTTAGGGTTTGTGTCTTTGATGAGGGCTTCGCTGCTTCCCTCCACAACATGTGCACAAACAAACAAAAGAATCTACACTCAGCTGTATCTGCTGCAGGAGACAGCAGCAGATAAGACAGACGAAAGCAACAAAGACAGAGACTGCTGCTGTCTTTAATTGCTTCTTCCCCGCAAACAAAACCAAAGTGCTGCTGCAACAACTGCTGCAACAGCTGCTGCAACAGCTGCTGCAACAGCTGCTGCAGCAGCTGCGGCAGCAGCAGACACAAACCCTGCTGCGCAGTTTAGGGTTTAGGGTTTAGGGTTTTCTACGCATCGTCGTCGTCCTGGAACTCCTCCTTCATCAGCTGTGCATACACCCCAACAACACAAACCAAACAAAACCCTAAACTCCTTTACTAATGCTCTGCTCTTTAAAGAAGCAGCAGCAACAGCAGCAGCAGCAGCATTAGTAGCAGTAGCAGCATCAGCAGCGCTAGCGGCAGCAGTTGCGTGATTTGCAGCAACAGCAGCAGCAGCACGATTGGCAGCAGCAGCAGCAGCAGCAGCAGCACTATTAATAGCAACAGCAGCATGACTGGCAGCAGCAGCAAGATTAGCAGCAGCAGCAGCAGCAGCAGCAGCAGCAGCAGCAGCAGCAGCTGTTTGCTCGCCTCTTTGAGCTCCAATTTAATTTCATAGACATCGTCGCCCTTCAGCATATCTTTCACGAAGTAACAGGAAACCCGCATCCGCAACTAAACAACGCACACAAACCCTAAACCCTAAACCCTAAACCCTAAACCCTGGACTGACGTGGGGGAAGGAAGAAAAGACGCGGATGGAAGGAGAAAGTAAAACGAAAACAAACAAATAGGTAGACAAACAACAAACAAGCAGAGAGCGACAAACCCTAAACCCTAAACCCTAAACCCTAAAACAGATACAAAGAAACAAACAAACCCCCCAAAGACAATGCATACAACAAGAGCCAAGAAAGACAACCTCTACCCCTCAAACCCTAAACCACAAACCCTAAACCCCAGACCCTAAACCCCAAACCCCAAACCCTAAACCCCAAACCCTAAACCCTGAATCCCAAACCCAGCCCCTAAACCCTAAACCCTAAACCCTAAATCGTAAGATAAATACCTGTTCTAGGGCTCCTTTAATAACCCCGCAAATGAGGTTTGAATAAGAAAGAGAAGCCAGAGAAGGAGGCAATTCAACAAAGTCTGCCAGGGGATTTGATGAAAAAACAAAAGTGCAGCTTCTTTCATCGTTAGGCGACGATAAAACCTCAGCAGACACCCCAAGAAACATCCTAAACCCTAACTGTAAACAAACATAAAAATATATATATGTATATATGTATATATATATATATACATTATATATATATACATGTATATGTACGTATATATATGTATATATGTATATATGTATATATATATATATATATATATTATATATATATACATGTATATGTACGTATATATATTTATAAATATTTATCTACTTAGTAATTATAACTATTAACTAAATATATATATATATATATAATTAATAAATATAAAGTATGTTTGTAACAAATTTGTTGATAATAAATCGTAAATAAATAAATAAACAAATACACAAATAAAGACAACAAAACAGACAAACAAAGCAAGCAAACAAACAAACAAAACAAACAAACAAACAAACAAAGCAAACAGACAAACAAACAAACAAATTAGTCCAGCAGCAGAGACAGTCGGGGCGACGAAAGCAACAAGCAACGCCATAAGCAACAAACAGCAGCAACAGCAGCAGCAGCAACAGCAGCAACAGCAGCAGCGCACACTGCAGACGCATCAGCAGCGGCAGAAACAGCAACAGCAGCAGCAGCACATTCATCAACATCACAAGCAGCAGCAGCTGCTCTCTCTCCTTGCCCCTCTCCACCCCTCCCAACCCTAAACCCTAAACCCTAATTTCTACCTTCGCAATGACTTCAGCTGTTTCCCTGAAGCTCTCGCAGGCCCCAATATTTGTCTTAGACAAAAACTCATCCACCAAACGAACGCCAATGTTATAACCCCTGAAGCAGCAGCAGCATCAGCA